ATTATCATTCCAACTATTTAAGATATCATTCTAATTCATCCTAAAGATTAATCAATTATGATTTTTATACTCATTCCATTTCAAAGTGTGTTCTCCACATAGTATATTGCAGGAAAAAATATCATTGTTACAAAACTTATAAGAAAAAAGTATATGCATCAAAATAGAACCCGACCCGAATAACTCATCCAGTCAACCCGATCGCAACTCGAATTGACTAAAATTCAATAATCTGTAACCCGATTAGCCCACAGCTTGATTGACACACAACCAAATTAAACTGAATTCCATTGACCCACAACCTGTTTGACCTGTATCCCGAATTACCCACAATTTGATCTGAACCTGCCCGATTGACACTTTTGGATAAAAGAATAACATATAATGGGCGGTTATGCATATAACGAATAGCATATAACAATCAAGACATAGTTATAGCTAACCCTTTACATAAACACATGCAACAAATACAATTATCTCTCTTAACATAAGTACATGTAACTAATACAATTATCTTACATTTGACTCTTGAGTGGTTATGCAAAGTATTAAGTATGTGTATATAATATATAGCTAATTACTTAACTGGTTAATTTGGTTTGATTGGGTAGGAGTGTCTAAAACCAAACCAAACCATCAAAACAAACAAGCTAAAAAATTTAACCAAACCAAACAAATTATCTAAATTAACTAAACCAAATTAGCCAAATATTACCGGTTAAAACGATTACCACTAGTGACAGACATATGTTAGCCCAAGGCTTGTCATTTGACAAACCTTGTTTCCAATTTTTTGACAAAATTCCTTTGTAAAATTTTATTTTTGCTGTGGTAGTATTTGAACTCAAGGCTATTTGACAATCGTTGATGATTTATTTCATCGTTGAATACCCTTGATGTAATTCCTGGGTCCGTCTTTGATTACCACGATAACCACACTATTTGAACACCCCTGATGAAGACATCAATACTTAAAAATTCCGTGCATAGAAATTCTTTGTAACTAATTCGACAAAATATCAAATAAATTGTAAAATTGCTAATTACATAACTTAGACAAGTTCCAAAAGTTGAATCCATATTTATTATTACAAAAATACAAATTTAACGGATATATTTGGTCTATGTAATTGGGTTGTTTTCGAGGGTAAATAGTTTGGGCTCCCAGCCTTGATGCGTCAATTCCATCAACAGTATGAGGAGTGGGTTCATCTGTTGGTGGAGCCATCCCCCGGTCGTCCTTCCCAGTGTCCTAGCACCAACTTCCAGTTGCGGATGGTTCGGCTGTGTGTATGTGGGATGTGGCTACTAAAAGTGGGTCGCATTCGGCCGGCGGGATAGTGATCCTGAGTCCGGCTAGAGATGTTCTTTTTGTTAAAGAAACCCAGTTCCCGTTGATTGATGATCCCGTAGTGGTGGAATTACTCACGCTCAGGGAGGCAATTTTGTGGTGCACCAGTCATGGGCTAACAGAGATAAGATTTGAAGGTGATGCCAAGGTCGTCATTGATAAAATTAATCAGGCAGATTCCAGAGATAACCGGATGGAGGCGGTTCTTGAAGAAATCGTTCATTATTTTGCTGCTCATTCTGGGTTTTCTGTTAGATTTGTAGGTTGGAGTAACAATAGGGTAGCCCATATGGTTGCTCGAAAGGCCATTTCTTTGTACCCGACTACGAGTCGGTTCTTTGATTTTCAGACTTGACTGGACTCCAGAATGTAACTGTCTCTTTTATTAAAATGAAAATGATTATCTTTTGTAAAAAAAAGGATCTAGAAAATTCAGAGCTAATTTCTGGGAATTGAATGCATTAAATTTTTTCTAATTTTTTTAATTGGTTCTTATTTTCTTCGTTCTAACTCAGATTTCAATTTTTTTCGCAGATGAAACGAGTTTGTTGCGCTCTACAAAATGAGATCCATTTTCAATATTATTTTGAGGAAAAAAATTTATACCTCTTGTTACCAACTCCATACCATATGGTATCTTCTTCGTTTTAAGATCGTTTAAAACAAATTTGCACAGAAGGAACGAGTTCATCATGATTTATTGGATCTAAAAATTTATGGGTGAAAAAATAGAGGACCAAAAAATAACACACAATACCATCCTAGTATGAGGGGTGGTATCTTGTGGTACACAATGTTGAAAGTCGTAAATGAAAGTTAGTATACTCATATTATCATGTATTCCACCATCCTATAGTGTTCGTATGTTCATACTGGTACATACTGGTAAAAAATGTCTCCTTTTTTTCTTAAAAAAATATAGGGTAAATGCCACATTTGGTCACTGAAATTACTAAATCGCGTCATGTTTAGTCACTAGAAAAATTTATATCAATTTTGGTCACTCGAATTACTGGAACAGGTCAAATTTTGTCACTCTCCCGTTGGTTTCCGTCCAACTTCATTAATGGAGTTGGACGGAAACTAACGGGAGAGTGACTAAATGTGACATGTTTCAGTAATTCGAGTGACTAAATGTGACATGATTCAGTAATTCGAGTGACTGGAGTTGGACAGAGGCTAATGGGAGAGTGACTAAATGTGACATATTTCAGTAATTCGAGTAACCAAAATTGATATTAAATTTTTCTAGTGACTAAACATGACACGATTTAGTAATCTAAGTGACCAAGTGTGACATTTACCCAAAAAATATATCAAAGTGAATATCATTTTGAAGAGCACAATTAATCTGATTTATCTATGCAAAAGAAATCTGACTTAAAACCAAAGAGAAATCATCCGTTAAATATTAAAAGGGAAAATATTTAAGATTTTTCACAAGAAGCAGAACTGTTTCGATGGAAAGGGCAATGACGGGGATCTTCTCATATATTTTTCCTATTAAAAGAACATTTGAAAAGAAGAAAAAAGCTAATTAGGGTTCGGTCAACGCATTTCCCTTCTCCTTGTTTAACTCATCGGTAAAACAATTGTCAAAATATTGTAAGTAGGTAAGAATTAACATTATTATTAACAAATTATTTGATTAATAAATATTTTGGTACCAAATCAATGACATTAATTATTTTGTTTGAGTTCACTTATTCTTAGTTTTAAATCATGCTTAGTAGACGATGTCGGAATACTACTTTGATTTAAACTACCTAGACACAACATGAAAAACAAGACCCAAACCCCATGAGCTCTATCCCTTCCTCATAAATTATTTTGATTTATGCATTAAATAACAATTTAAATGATGATTTTGGAACATTAATCTTGAAAATTATCACTTTAAATGTTATAAGTCTTTGTGTTATTAATTATTTACCTTATTATTATTATATGTTAATTTCTAAACGGTACTTAAAATCCTACGATTCTACGATTAGATTTTACGATTATGATTTTACCCCAGTTTTTTATTTTAGGTAAAATTTTGATTTTAACTACTTTGGTCTATACCATACTAGCTTGGGCACGGCCAGTTAGCCGGAATATTTACATTTATTTGGGTTAAATATTTTAATTAAAATTTTTATAAAATAAAAGTTATTAAGTAGGGTGAAAGTCAGTAGTGAACCACTAAAACTGACAAAGAGGCGAGGAAGCGAAGAAGAGAAAGTATAAACAAAATTAGTAATTCATGTTGAATGGTTTTAGGTTACATCACATTTTTTTGTGGTAATAATAGTGAATCAATAGACCAGTAATAAGAGTAGTTCAATTGGTTTCACGTCCATTTGGTAAAATCGTTAGTTCCAACTCTAGTCATCCAAACAAAAGAACCAAATCGCTACTGTAACTGATTAGACAATGCTACCAATCATCCGTTAGTTTGGTTTGGTTCTTGTAACAATGATTCAATAACGTAGACAGAGCACCTCATTCAATAAACTTTCCATTAAGTTAACCTTAATTATATATTTTTATTTATATGTGAAAAAATACATCCATTAAAATTTCCCCATCATCTACTTTAATTTTACAATAAATGTATACTCCACTGAGGTATGATAAACCATGGGACTTGATTAGTTTTTGCTTTCTTCATTACCAGCCCTAACTTTCTTTCTCCATCCCAATCCCATCGACATTCTTCCTCCTTCCCAATCCATACAATATGGACCAAACATATAATGGAATTCCCATCCAGATACTCTTCTTCCAAAACTGCATATCTCCTTTAGCGAGAGAAGAATCAGTTGAGGGCTTGCGGCGTTGACTTTTGAATTATATTGCTGGCAATTAATTTTTTAATCAACAACATCTCCTTGATAGGAAGAAAGTTACCAATATATTATGAGGAATTTTACTATATTTTAAAATATTGATGCTTTAGTTTTTGCCTTTATGGTACTTTTAATTTTATAGTACAACTTTAGATTGTATCTATACTTTTTTATAAAATCCTTTTATGGTACAATAACATAACATAAAGGTCAAATTCGTTTATGATACAACTTCAGTTTGTACGTTTAACATTATGGTGCAATTTCAAATTGTACTTTAAAGCATTCATCATTGAAAATTTGAGATGGAAAGGAACTCAGCTATAATCTTCTTCTCCTATGCAAATGAGATCGAATTAGAATGGACGGCCAACACTCAAACAAAACAAATTAAATTAAATTAAACATGAAAAGGGAAAGGAGGTTATGAGGGTAAGTGGCATTGCTGTTTTTCCACTTGTCATGAAGGAAGGCATGTGGCATTAATGAAGAAGGCATTAGATAGTTTGGATATGAGTGAGATATTGATCATGATCATGGTGGAGAGTTGAGATTTGGGGAAAACAAATTATTTTTGAAGTTATTTATAGAGAATTGAAGGTGTTAAAATGGAGAAGCAAATCATCTTTGGAGAGTTAGTATCTTCTTCCTTCTAAAACCAATTTATGTATATGTTGATTAATATTAGTGTTTTTTGTTAATATTGTTGATACGTGTTGAAATCGTATGAGTGAATGAATCCCTTTTCTTGGCGGGATTGAGCCAGTTCTCTCTTTTCATGGCGAGAAATTACCAGAGGTTTACTTACTAAAATTCTGCTTCCTATTATTTCATTACCCTTTAACTTAAATACATCAACATTTGAAAAGAAACTATGCAGTACTAACTTGGTGGAACTACTCCCCACGTTCAACAACCACATTGCTGAACTTGCTCCACTTATTACGCCAAACTCAAAAGATCCTAACAAGTATGTCAACCCATTCAACTAACAGAAACAAACGGACTCCTACAACGACAAGCTTCTCTCGGCATGGGCTGGGCTATTTCTCATCCTTATGGCAGCAGTGTTGGGCTACGACACTCGAACTGAGCGATTATGGGCTCATCATTACCATCCACTGAAAACGGCCTTGTCCTCAAGGCCGAGCTTGGAAATAGTGATCGTTGAAGACCGATGTCAGGTTCCATGTATTCTCTTTCGCGTATACGGAACTTCCAACTCCGTTGAGGCACTCGAACAAAGCCAACATCGACAATTTCTATGTACAAGAGCTTCATCTCTACGGTGAAGGAATGGGTTACTCCTACAAGATCAGCTTCTTCGACAGCCAAGACCAAGCTGTGAAATTCCTCTTCCCATACCATCCTTCCATGCACCCCATGCTTTACTTCACTAATCACACGTATCTCCTGCACTTGTATTAACCCTCCGAATAATAACAATGCACCACTAGGCACCTCCATCTCGGCAACCCTATGTGGAAACCAAACCCCTCTCCCAAATTTCAAAATCAGATCACACTTGTCTGAACCATCACCCGTACCCTTCTCTTCAATTGTACCGACAATCAAGTCCTTAATTAAGCAAGGGTCCATCTGCTGTGAAAGATTATGAATTTCACAGGCCTTGTAAGCTTGATGTCGCATTTCCATCATTCCTTTCTCCCCCAATCTCGACTCAGCTCCATTCCATCCCATGGTCTCGTCCTTAGTGCCCGCAGAACTGGGTTTCATTTCATAGAGAAGGCCTCCCGTTAATCCACCCATCGTCGGCCCAACGCAGCCCTGAATGGTCAGCCCATCTTCGATACCTAAACCCGCAAATTTTGACCCAGCTACCGCCATCTTGCAGATCCCATCGTCTCTGCGACTTCCTTCTTCTCCGTTGCGCTCTCGGCCACCGTTCTCCAACTCCCTTTTCCTTCTGAATTTCCATGAAATGGCAGATCTGATGGGGATCATTTGTCTTTCTTTTCCATCCTGTAATCGAGCCTCCCAAGGAAACATCTCCACTGCCACCCGATCTGCTATTTTGTTGTTGTTTGAGGCGTTCGGCAGGGCAGCTCTTGAATTGGTGGATTGGTTTGTGCCTCCGGTCATCGAGAAGAGAGGATTTTCTGCGTCAACTTCAACAGCCACACTGGTCAACCCTTGGTCCATCGTTTGAGAATGGTTTGAAACCCTTTTGTAGGCGGAATCAATCTGAAACTGCACGTTGGTCTTAGGTGTTGTAGTGATGGTATCGTTGATGCCTATGTCAACGGCGATAGGTTCTGGCGAGGAAAGCTCCAGTGCGGCCGCCGCCTTAATCACCAGCTGGTTCGGCTCAGTCTCATCCGCTGGGGCTGGTTGTTTGTTCGTGATGATGGCAAGGAACAACTGAGGTTCTGCGGGTAGGAGAGGGTTCTCTCCCTCTTCAGCGGCGGCGATGGATTTGACTTGCAGCGACAGTGGTTCGGAGACAGTCGATGGCGCGACAAGAGGGAAGGATGACATCAATGGTGCAGGCAGTGCGATGTCAACGACATCAGCGTCTTCCTCCGCATCCTCTAGAAACTCGGCTAGAGCTTCAGCTTGCGACGGTAGCGGTGCGGTTGCTATAGGTGGGACGACAATCTCCACCTCTCCCATGGAGGCCAGGGTCTTGATTTGCAGCCTCGGTGGTGTTGTTGCTGGCCTGTGTTTGTCATACGTCGCAATGAGCATGTTGCAGGTAGCCATGACACGTTCTATCTGCTTGATTGCCTGATTGATGAGTTCCTCCTCCCTTGATGGTCTCTTTGAGTTCATCGTGATAGGAATCCGGATCAACGGCTCTGATACCAAATGATACGTGTTGAAATCGTATGAGTGAATGAATCCCTTTTCTTGGCGGGATTGAGCTAGTTCTCTCTTTTCTTGGAGAGAAATTACCAAAGGTTTTACTTACTAAAATTCTGCTTCCTATTATTTCATTCCCCTTTAACTTAAATACATCAACGTTTGAAAAGAAACTATGCAGTCCTAACTTGGTGGAACTACTCCCCACGTTCAGCAACCACATTGCTGAACTTGCTCCACTTATTACGCCAAACTCAAAAGATCCTAACAACTATGTCAACCCATTCAACTAACAGAAACAAACGGACTCCTACAACGACAAGCTTCTCTCGGCATGGGCTGGGCTATTTCTCATCCTTATGGCAGCAGTGTTGGGCTACGACACTCGAACTAGGGATGGCAACAAAACCCGAACCCACGGGTACCCATCCAACCCAACCCGGTCAACGCGGGTAAAACTCATGTTGACGGGTTTTGGGCCGGGTTCGGGTTTGGGTTTAGGTAAACCCGTCCCATGGGTACCCGCCCACACACATATAATTACTTTTCCGGTATATTTAATATTCTAAATAATATATCTTCCTTAAACAATTAATATTCTTTATGTTTGTGGAGACATGTATAATTTATTTTTTCTAATTGTTTAGAATGAAGTTGATATTATGAAATGGAGAGTGAAGAAACTTAGTTGACGAGGAAAAAGCTTTTAATTAATCTTATTGTTTATAGATGTTTATCTTTAATTTTGAACAATTTGCATTTGATCATTTGCAGTTTGCTCGTATGCTCTAGATTGGTGTTTTTTGTATGAATAATTTGTATGAGAAAATTGATGTTAAACTTTTATTTTGAAAGAAACTTGTTATTGTAAATTTTTTACCACAAAAACCAACGGGTACCCATGAACCCGCGGATACCCAGCGGGTTGGGTTGGGTTTGAGTTTTTCAAACCCAGCGAATTTTACCCCGGATTTTTTTGGCGGATAAACCCATGGGTTTGGGTTTGACAAAGCCCGCCCCAACCCGACCCGTTGCCATCCCTAACTCGAACTGAGCGATTATGGGCTCATCAATTGTCAAGCCAGAAACTAAAGGTGTGTTTAATGGGAAACAAAGTACTACCACATGCGAATTTGGATATAAAAGGAGAAATGGTTTACTTTTGAGTAGTGTCTGAATGAAGTAATATATGAAATCAAACTAAACTATATAAATCAAACTAAACCATCTAAATCAAACATGCTAAAGATGGTTACCACAATTATTACTTCGTTTTAGTATTCCTAACGCAAAAGTTATATATTTAAGGCGATAGTTAACTTTTACATAGTACTTTAATCGAATGTGATACTGTACATAATTTTATTTTATTATTAGACCACAAAGTATGAACGATTTACGTAAAAATATTATATAACAATTATGTAAACTATAAGTATATTACATAGAACTTACAGAGGTAGTTATTTCATATGTATCAATTTGTATGTCTTTCATAATATGAGTTTCAATGAAATTCCTAAATTTTAACTAAATTGTTGATCATCTCATCAATTTGCATAACAAGTTAATCAAAAATAACTTTTGTAACTCAATTCATTTATTATTAAATAAATATTCTTTATTATTGCATATAATATTTATCATCTCATCCATTTGTATTAAGCAAAGGTTCCGTAAGATTATTTAATTTTACATTATATTGTAATCAAAGTGAGACTTCTCTCAATTTGTAACTTGATGTTATTATTTACATTATATTGTAATCAAAGTGAGACTTCTCTCAATTTGTAACTTGATGTTATTATTTGACCACACTACAGAAGATTTACGTAACACTTCTATAAAAATTACATAAATTACAAACACGTTGCATAAACCTTATCAAAGATAATTATTTCAAATGTATCAATTAAAAAATGTATTACATATGTCCCCCATAATAATTAAGAACTTATGTATAGCTTATAAAAGTATTTTACCCTACTATTTTATGAATTATTTAATTAAAGTAAATGGATGAATAAAATTTAAATGTAATTAGTTTCATACCGGGACGAAGCGCGGGCAAAACAACTAGTACTCATAAAGCTCCAACTTATATATAGATTTAGATGAAAGGTTAAACCTAATTCATTGTTGTCTATTTAATATTTTTATTAACTATTGTCGAAGCTTACAAATAAATAAGTAATTTGATTAGTAATTAAACTTGGTGTTGAAATAGCGATTTAAGTTTCTATACACAATTCCCTTCATAACAAACATCTTACTTACACTTATAATTTTCCTATTGAAACTCAAACCGTAGTTACTACAAATAAAAAAAATCTAAATGACTAAACATCGCATTAACTTTACTATTATCGCCCTAACATAAAATTTCTAAATTAACCTGAATCAAACCGAAAGCAACAACACAAACAGACCCTAAAACCCTAATCCTCCATCTTCTTTCAACAAGGACGACGTCCCTTCAAAATCTTCCCCGCCGCCAGAACATGCAATCCAACTTTAGCAAGCATCCCCTGTTTGGGAGCAATATATATACACTTAGACGTCTGAAAGGGGGAAATAGCTAAGCGGCATCCGGCCGGCCTGGAAATTCAGAGCGACTTGCTTGTCCCGAGTAGCGATGGTAGCAGCCTGTTAAGGCTTGTGGGCTTGCGTCGAGAATTGACAGATGCAACTATGACGAAGTCGACTAGCGCTGAGAAGTAATCAATTGGTGAGTGGTATCTCGATCGGTCTACGGGAGCCTATGTGGCTACGGAGGCTTGATGAGCGACATGTCTACAAGTGGAAGCGGGTGCTCGATGCGGTTACCTATGATGAATCCGAAACTTAGTACGCGATGGCTTTTGGGCGGCGGTAGTGGTGGCAGCGGAAGATCATGATGGCGACGGGTATTTAACTAGGGCGATTACAATAAAACAAAACAAAAAAGGATAACAATGTAATTTTAACTTTTAAACTAGGGCAATTACTAAGGTTGTCAATCCGCGGGTCGACCCATTTTGATCCTGACCCAGTGAGAAAAACGGGCCACACGCACTCGCCGGGTCGACCGCTACAAGGTACCGGTTTGGAAGTCAAATTGTGTCATTTTTTTCTTTGGTTTGTGAAATACACCTATTTTCATGATTTTTCTTTACGCCTAACTCAATCTTTGGAATCCTAAGTTGAACATTTGAATATTGATGTTATATAAGTGTGTGTGAATTTTCACTATATGTTGAATCTAAGTAGATGTTATTTTGGTGTAATATTATAAGTTATAACTCATATGTTAGATGAGATTTGATATAATTTATCGGGATAAGTACAATATAATGACTCTTTCCATATTTTCGGTCTAAAACGGGCTAAAACAGGTGACCCATTAACCCTTAACCCACTAGCTCGATTGGGTCCGGGGGTTGACCACCTTGACGATTACAATTGAAGTAGGGCGACAATTAGCAATCTAAAATTTTTTGGGTAAATTTCAAATTTGGTCACTAAAATTACTTAAAAATTTCACATTTGCCACTAAAATTACTTTATTCCATCTGTAGTCACTCAAATTAGTTCGACAGTTCACGTTTGGTCACTCTCCGTTAACTTTAGCTGACGTGGCAATTAAAAATAATAAAAAATAAAATTTAATCTTTGAAAATTTCACTTAAAAAATAAACAAAAAAAGTTATAATAATTACAATAGTTATTACTCCATAAACAAGTTCCCTTGCGCCATAAATATAAAGCTCCTCTGCTTTCCATAGCAACATCTTCGCGCTCACTCTCTGCGGCAACAAAGCCTTCCTCCCAATCGTATCATGGCAGGCCGTCAAAACCTTGGGGAGACCATTAATCTCAAGACCGATTAAGACCGCTGCGACGTCGTTTCTTCAGAGCTTGGGCGGAATACACAGCAGCTGCGGGATTTCCTCTGTTTGTTGGCTCGTCAATGCTCTGCTTCTCACCCTGAAGAACAGAGGCGACACATCGTCGGGAATCATAGCAGTGGTGTCCGCCATTCTTTCGCTTCTCTGCTTCTCGTGCTTCGCAGCTTCCCCGCTCGTCCACCATCTCCACCACAATTTGTTGGAAAGAGTCCACAAATTCGCGGGATGGACGACGCTCTGCCTACTCTCACAATCGCCTACGATATGACAACTAAATCCTACAGAAACCAGCAGTCGGGGTAGAAATTAATGAAACACCAGGATTTTTTTTTCACGGTGGGGATCTCTGTGCTAATCTTAATCCCTGGCTGACGGTGAGACGGGTCCCTGTGAAGATGTCGTCGTCACCGTCTAGACACGCCTCATTGATCAAATTCGAAGGTGGGGTTAGGCCTGGGATGCTGGGGAGAATCAGTCCCTCTCCGTTGTCTGAGCGGCACGCGTTCGGGATAATTTCAGAGGGAAAACAGAGTACATATGATGCTGCCGGGTGCGGTGGGGGATTTTACCAAGTCGCGGTGGGGATCTGAAGAAATTTTTAATAATAATAATAATTATAAGGTAGCTACTTCGGTGCACTCACTTTTTTGGGTGCACTCAGTGCACCCAACTCTAAAAGCATCCATAATACATCAAATTTTGAACTTTAATTAGTACTCTCAATATAATATGATGATATGACATATAATCATAACAAATCAATCCATTACCCTAATCCCTTAACCTTCAATTTTGAATCCCAACCCAAAATCCCAAATTGTAAACCTAAACCCTAACCCTAAATCCCTAAATCCTAAATCCTTCGAATTAAAGTAAATTTTGAATGAATTTTTTTCAAATTCATGTGCTTCTTGTTCATAATATCATAAGCAACAATTGATACCGTTTTGACATGAATCGTACGGTCAGAATGACAATTATGAGGCGGGTGCACTGAGTGCACCCGAAAAAATGGGTGCACCGAATACACCACCATAATTATAATTATTTTATTTTTTAATTTATTGTGATAATGAGGTGGAATTTTAAAAGATTTTTTTTATTGCCACGTCACTTATTTAACGGTTAACTCTCAGAGTTGACTGCCACGTCAGCTAAAGTTAACGAAGACTAACGGAGAGTGACCAAACGTGAACTGTCGAACTAATTTGAGTGACTACTTATATAATAAAGTAATTTTAGTAGCAAACGTGAAATTTTAAAGTAATTTTAGTGACCAAACTTGCAATTTATAAAAAAAAATCTGAATTGCTATTCGTCGCCCTAAATTTCAAATTTTATCGCCCTAAAATGCATAAAATTGACACTCTTGCCCCTCTGACCCCATTCCTTTTGGTGCAGCCGCCGCCGCATCTTCTCGGCAGACTTACTCTTCATTAACAAGCTTGGCTCCGGTGGTGGTTTTCGCTCTGCCTTCTCTGTTTTCTTCTTTACCTGTTATGCATGCGGGCTTTTAGCCTTCTCTCTTTTGTATCCCTTTTGTTCCCTTTCTCCATGTACACTTCTGGTGTATTAGAAAGGCAATAAAATTCACTTTCATCTATAAAAAAAAAAAAGCTTGGCTCCATTTGTGGCAGAGGCCAGAACTGCCGCCGTCGATTGCACCATCGCCACCACCTAGGCCAAAAACCACCGCGGCCCCTGCAACAATACGACAACCGTCGTTCTAGTGCCGGTACGACACTCGGCCGGACCCTACTCAACGGCGACGAGGAGTACTTCCAGTTCTGCACCTTCTCCTCCCGATTTCAAAACCCCAACGTAGTTGGAAAGAATTTGTTAAGGGTATTAAAGTAAAATTAATTAATTTAGGGCGACGAATAGCAATGCCCAAAAAAATTAGTTACTAATTTTTTCAAAAACCTCATTACAACCTAAACTTTTGTAACGATTTGGACTAAGCACTGGGCATTGTAATTGGGCCCAATAATACTAATAATTTGCGGCAATGTGAAAAAAGAAACCGGCCCACTTTTGGGCGGGATTATGGAAACTAAAATGATCATATTATTAGTGGTATGAACATACTAAGATTGTATGATGGTTGAACACATGATAGTAGAAGTATACTAACTGTAATTTACGACTTTCAATATTGTGTACCACAAGATACCCTCCCTCGGTACCAAGGTGGTAATTTTTGGTCTCGTATTTTGTTCACCCGAAAATTTGTAGATGCAATAGATCATGATGACCTTGTTCCTTCTGTGCAAAATTTTTCAAAAATGACTAAAAGAGAATATATCATATGGTATGTAGTTGGTAGCGAGAGGCATGAAATTTCTTTTCTCGAAAAATATTGAAAATGGATATCATTTTGTAGAGTACAACGAACTCGTTCCGTCTGTGCAAAAAAAAAAAATTGAAATCCTAGTCAAAACGAAGAAGATATGAGCCGATTAAGAAAACTAGGAAAAATAAAAATGCCTTTAATTTTTCACTCTTAGATCTAGATTTTATGGGCAAACTGAAAAAGAAAGATCCAGATTTAGTTTTATGGGTGCATAACTCATGGTGCCCAAAATATGAGTAATATTAACCAAGCAACATGTGATCCGACACAATTTTTGATAAACCACAAACCACACTTCCATCACTACCTTAGTATATTTAGGGAATGGATCATGTCAATAACGATGCATAATTCAAGCGGAATCCGCCACATCAGCACCCCTCTCTCTCCTAATAAAATCTCTGATATGTTTCTTTAATTTTTAACTAACGATATCTCTCTCGTTTTAAGCCAGAATTAATTTTTTTTTTTGCATAGATAAATCAGATTAATTATACTCTTCAAAATTATATCCACTTTGATATATTTTTGGAACAAAAAAATTGAGACATTTTTTACCAATCTATACCATGGTGGTATTGATTGGTACTAAAATCAGAGCAACAGATGGTATGAAAGTGTACATTGTGGTATGAACATATCAAGACTGTAGGATGGTTGAATACATGATAGTAGGAGTATACCAACTGTCATTTACGACTTTCAACATTTTGTACCACAAGATACCATCCCTCATACCAGGATGGTATAATGTGATATTTTTTTTGTTCTTGTATCTTTTTTCACCCATAAATTTTTAGATCCAATAGATCATGATTAACTCGTTTCTTCTGTGCAAAAATCTTAAAAAACAACTTAAATATGGTATGGAGTTGGTAACAAGAGTTAAGAAAATAGAATTCAAAAATATTGAAAATGAAGACCATTTTGTAGAGCACAACGAACTTTATTCATCTGTGCAAAGAAAAAAAAATTTGAAATCCGAGTTAAAACGAAGAAGATAAAAATCGATTAAGAAAACTAAAGAAAAAAATGCATTTAATTTTCAACAATTATATATGAATTTTCTTGCCACTAAAAAGGGAAGGTTCAGACCTAGTTATGCAAGAGTGCACCAATCACATTCAAAGATTTCAGCTACTACTGATGGTGAGATTGTGAAAGTCTTCATCTCAAAAAGTTGTTCGGTGGTTGCCTCCATTTGTAGCATCATTTGTAGCATTTTCAACTCAAAAAGTTGTTGGATGATTGCCCAACCAAGAGTTATGCACCCTATCCAGAGCCGTATATTTAGAAATTTGATTGGGTGGCCTCTGAAATTTATATTCCATACCATAACCTAATTTCTCAACAACAACAAAAAAAAAACCTAATTTTTTCCACTGTGCAAGAATACCCTAAATTTTCTCAACCCTACAATGAAATTTATTCTATCCAAGAGCAGCTAGACAAGTAACAAAGGCTGGGGCTTTCGCACCTACTCTCTGGCGCAGTCCAAGCCTTGACTGAAACAGTTGGTGGATATTGTTGTGAGAGAAGAACAAACACGAACATGAAGATGAAATCGAAAATTCTAAGGTTCACAGTAGAAAGCACTCTGCCGAGACACAGCACATGTTCCAATCGATCCAGACAATACATAATTTCATTAGGAACACATTCGAAAAGAATGATCCCAAGTTTTCAATCTCTCCTGATTAATAATGCTTCCAACCCTTCCAGTTGCAGAAACCAAACCACCAAACAAGAAGTAGCGAGAAGCGAGATATCATCAACGATGCAAAGGGAGTCGGGCATTCTTGTCAGCTGCTAACTTAGCGGGTTTTTGTTTTGGTCTTTTTCTGGTCTGCAACGTTCACGGCCACACAAATCTTCCTCCAACAGCGCAAGGCTATCAACGAGGGTATGACAACCCAAGATGCATTGGCACCAATGTAGTAGGCATAGTAATAATGCGGACTGGCAGCAAAGTTATCGCCCTCTAGATATGCAGTAATGAAATACACGGCAGTTCCATAGAGCTGTCCCAGGGAGATAGCAAACTGAAGAATGTAGCTGTATGACTTTCTTGTAGCAATAGCATATCTGCACATGGCAAAGTTCAGGGAAAAGGAAGTTAGGATAAAAAGAATAGAGTTGAGAGACCTATAATTCTATTCGGAGTTTTTGAAGGAGAAGTGCAGTGCGCGGCAAGCCATACAAAGCTAAAAGGCAGGCGGGCCCCTCGAAGACTGCTGTCAATCCTTCAACAGAAACTACTCCAGAATCTCTTGCTGCATATCTTGAATCACCTTTGCTGTATTCTTTCCCTGTAAGATTTTCCAAACTGGATTATTGTTTGTGGAAACATAGCACAGGACTCCAGCAAAGTCATACCAATTCCCGACAAGAACTATTGGCCAATTGAACGAACATAAGTAGAATACTCACAAACTTCAGCAAGGAAAAACCCAGATTTGTCCTTGTAAAATTCCGGTGCAAAAGCAAAATATCCTTCGAGAATCAAGTGTGTGAGACCAGTGAAAGCCCACCAGCAAAGAAGAAGCCTGTCAAGTTTAGCTATTTTCCGGGAGAAGCCTGTTTCGAAAAGAAGAAATTCAGTTGGACCTGTAAGAAACCAGTAAGGGACGGAAACTAGTAGTGGGGTAGGCTAAGAACACAACTGCATCTGATGTTTAGGGTTTGGGAAGTGGGAGAAAGGGGAATGTTGCTCTCTGAAGCATTTGCCTATGTGTATGGCAGACAAACCAAAATCCAAGAAGTCAACACGGTAGAGGAAAAAGAGACCCCAAAGGCAATCTAAGTGATTGGACAAATACTCAATCAAACCATCAATTAAGCGTGAACTTAGGGGCGAGCAGTGACAATGTAGGTGACTAGGATCTATTTACAGTAATGATATCGAACGATTTACAGCATGCAGAAGGATTGAAAAGGAAGAAGGAGGTTAGAGATTGAAAGCAAACCAGAAGAGATCCAAACAGTGGAAACGACAACGAGAGAGACAACCCCGTAAATGCAGAGGATGGCGGATTGAGAGAGAAATGGAGGCACATAATCGGGGAGTAGCAGATCTGTGGGCACATAAGGATGTGGATTTCCTGTTTCTTCCATTATGAATATCAAGGACCTCCACACACGACTCCTGGCCTCTCAACCTAATAACAAGAGGGAAAAAGAGCACATCTTGGAGTCAAGACCTCAAACTACTACACACCATAAGAAAATCATAATGCATTGATGTTTCATCCACTGTAAAATCCAGAGCAAGTTCAACTCAAATCTGGTTGGTTTTCTCTCCTGCTGTGAGCAATCAAACTTAATGACAAAACCAATAATCAGGTGGTTGGAGTTGTCAACCTCGTCATAGGAATAAAAAAGGATGCAAGAGGAAATCCTGGCTTGAAGTGATCATCAATGCAGTCAAAAGCGCGATTCTACCTAGAAACGGAAAATGGATAAAATCGTAAAACGTAGAATCAAAACGTAAAAACGTAAGTTTTTTATGCATCCTGTAGAGTAGCTAAAAATATGTGAAATCCGATATGTACCCTGAAAAATATGAGTGTACAGATTTCAAATAAATGAATAAATACTTGCCAAACAAACCACGATTTCTAAAAGTAACAATAAATCACTTCTAACAAAAAACAACCCAACAGACCAAAGATTCAAATCCTCAGTCTCACAAAACCTAGTCCATGCTGCTGCTATTTCTATTTTCTAATAAGGCGAAACAGAAATTGTTGACACCTAAAAATTAATTCGACCGAAATTAAATGTCGCATTAATTAGTCTCGGCATTTAATTCGATACCGTGGGCAAAAGACGGCGTCGTTTGAAATTAAGCGATACCGCGGAACAAAAAACGGTACCGCAAGGAAGCTCAGCGGTACCGCGACACTGGAAACGGCACCGGTCACCAAAAAACAAAAGAGGGGCCGCGCGTTTAGTCGTAGTTGGGGAAGGAGTTTTTGTTTGTTCTAATTAATTATTATTACTTTTTATTCCTTGTTGGATAGGGAGAAGCGGCACCGCGGAGATCTAAAACGGTGCCGCGGAGATCTAAAACAGTACCGCGAGGAAGCCCAACGGTACCGCAAGCAAACGACAGTGTTTAATAAAAAACAATGTCGCAAAAGGAAAAACAAACGGAGCCGTTTTGGCGCTAATGATGTCGTTGGTCGTGGACTAGTGATGGCCAGATTAGTTAATTAATATTTTTAATGACTTTTTAGCACGGTGTCGTTAGTTGAAAACGATGCCGCAAGAAGAAGGAACGACACCGCGGATTTAAAGACGATGACGCGAGTGGGCCAAACGATGCCGCAGTTGTTAAAACGACAGCGTTAAATTTAAAGCGGCATCCCAGAAATAGAAAACGATGTTGTTTAATTAAGAACGGCGCCGCGAAGTGAGAGTTTGACAGCGTGTCAACAATGATGGCCGGTTTAATTATTTAATATTTTAAGGATCAGTTAAGACGGTGTCGCTTTAGCCGAAAACGACATCGTGGGAGGTCGACACCGTCGCAGTACTGAAACAATGTTGTTTAATTAAAAACAACGTCGCAGTGACGAGAGTTCAGCAATGGTGGATTTCGGCTCAGTGTCGTTTTGGACCAAGTTGCCACGTGCTCAAGCGGTTTCGCACTCGTGGGAGTTACGCAACAAGGAGGAAGTTACCTGCACGGTTGACAGGAGTAAAGACGTGGGAGACAAAGGCGCGAGGGCGGTTACTACGACGAGGAGAAGCGCGAAGTATAAAGATTGGGAAGAGAGAGAAGTTCATGACGACAAAATCAAATTACAAACTGCACCTACGCAGATCTATCTTTTCCTCTCTAGTTCGTAGAACTTCTCTGTCAAAGACCTCCTTTGCAGAGTCGTAGTAGTCGTAGTCGTAGTTGCGGAGCTCTCCAGAGGAACCTCCATAGGAGTAGAAGTAACGTAACTTAGAACACTCCCGGTTTGGTTTCTCGTTTCTCGTTGAACACCCTCGTTCGAACGTAGTTTGGAGAGGTGGTGAACCGAGTAACGGTTGTTTGATTAGAAGTCAAAGGTGTATTGATCGAATCAACATCGCCGACACCGGCGGTGGATATTTGACAGTCATCTTGGTTTCTGTTTAATCGATCAAATCAACGGCCCTGACATTCGGTGGCGGATATTTGACGATTTTTGCTGACTTTGGGTTTTTGTTTCCTTGAAATCAGAGCGCATTGAACGCGCGAGTTTCGCCAACGAAACAGAAATCCTTGCCAAATGCCAAGGCCCAAGAGAGAAGAAAACAACTGCAGTTTGCTAAGCTATTTCTATTTTATACCTTCTGTTTGTTTCCTGAGAAAGAAGGGGGATTTTGAAAATGAAACAGCAGCAGCAGCCAGCAAGTATACCAGAAGCCAGAGATTGCTTCCGTTTTACGCCGCCGAGATGCAGTTGGTGACGGTTGATGCGGCAGGTCGCTGGCGACGATGGAGGCAGCTTGGAGAAAGAAGGAAGCTAGCTATCAGCTATCACCAGTTCACCACCGACGCGTCCGACACGATGGAGGTTTGCTGAGTGTCTTTAGAGACAGAGGAAGCAGCGGCGTACGCTTACCTGTGGCAACGGTGGAGGCGCGTGTATCTGAGGCGATGGTGGAGCGTGGCGCTGGTCGCTGGTCTTCTGCTCGCAGCCCTCAATTATTAGGGATTGAAAATGTTAGATCGGAGATGGGGAGAAGCTCGACAGGCTGATAGCCCGATGGGACATTCACTATTTTTTTTATTTTATTTTGTAAGACTAAAACGTAGTAGTTTTGATAAAATTTTGCATTTTCTGGTCATTGGCTGAAAACGCATAGAAACGCTACTAAAACGCGTTTTTTTACCGTTTCCACCAACGTTTTTGAGCGATTTTACTATCAACACGTTTTTAGGTGGAAACTGAAACGCTATGGTGACCTAGGTACGTTTTTACGATTTATAATGCGATTTTAACTGCATTGGTGATCATAACAAAAAAAAGAAGGCATCTAACTCTTTATTATTGTTAGATAATAGAATAGTGTACAATGCTCCGATTTCCACATTAGCATCCTTTTTATTACTTGGTCACTTGGCACATCAATGGCAAGTCTGATTTGGTGCCAAGATGAAGAACTTGCCCAGAAAGAACCACCAAAGTCTGGTGGCAAGTTCCAGATTTGTGTGAAAATGAAGAACTTAGAAATTGGACAAGATGGATTAGGTTCCAGATTGTCATGCCATGAGAGAAAATTGAGAATGGGGAAAACAAATTAAATCCTCACACAGCATACCAAGATACAAAACACTTTCTACCAAAAAAAAAAAAAAGATACAAAACACAAGTACCACTAACCTCGAAGTTCCCGCTCGGTAATGCCGCTCTGCCTTCTATCTGCAGCAGTCCCTTCTAGTTTCTGTTCGTTTCTCTGTAAGATTTCAAAATCCCTAGTTAATTTTGGGAATGTAGTCACATCGATCAATGCCGTGCGGTAAAGAAAAGAACAAAGAAGAAACGAATCAAGGAATCTTCTACCTTGCTCGCTCACCAACAAGAAAAGAAGTAGAGAAGCGCTGCCTGCCTTGATTCAATCCAAGATTTTGGCCTCGGAGTCTGAAAACTGTTGTTGGAAGTCTACGTCGCTCTCTCTCTCTCTCTGCCCTCTACTGCTCAATGGAAAGTGGCGAAGTCAGTGTGCTAAGGAGTAGGCGGAGATAGCATTGATATGTGTGCCAGATGTAAAATAAATAATCCAATCCTTATTATCCTGACTTTGGTTTCAAAAATAGAAAAAAACTCGGATCAATCCGGGCCGAGTTAAAATCGAAAAACCGGATAACAGACCTTGTAAGCCAATCCTGCATAGAGCCCACCAGCCACCACACCCAAGCCCAGCCTTCCCCTCTCTGGCCTATTCTCTCGGCCCGAGCCCACACCTGCCGCCCCTTATGTTTTGGAGGCAGCGAGGAAAGCAACTCCCCTCCATATCTCTAATTCCCTTCACTTCACGATCGTGAGAAGCCAAGCACCATGACCCGCAGCTTTGCAAATCCGACGTCTGCTTCACGCCTTCGCAATTTCGGTCCCCCGCTCCACGCCTCTGCTCCAGCGATCGTCGACCAGCGAACCAATCCTCCTCCTCTCCGCAAGACCGTGACACCGACTCCGCCCCAACAAGTGCGATCGCCTACCAGCGTGAGAGACGCTTCCTCTTCTTTCTCTGCCGCTTTACTCTTCTCTCTTTTGGCTCGACGATGAGGACTCCGGTGGCGGCGGCGAGGGAAATTCTGTCTCCTCCAACGAAATTGAAGTGAGGGAGGAGAGCTGAACGATGGGTTTGATTGACGTTGGGAGAAATTTTGTCACCTGCCTGTTATTTTTCTGGTCGCCTTCAATCGGTAGAAAGTAAGACGGGGTAAACGCAGACGAATTTACCCTCGTTGTTGATTCTTTGGTGAGGTTAGGGTAAAGCCAAACAATGTCATCAGACTCGGACTCAGCGGTCGCCTCGCCGGAGCGGAAGAATATATATTTGTATCTGTAGAGTGTAGACCACAACATTTGACCGCCTAATTTAGATAAATCTCATACATTATGTTAGATGAAAATTTAAAAGCAATGTCATTTTTAGCCTATGAAAATTGCTAAAAGACTAAGTCAATTCAAACAAACACAACAATTCATTAATCCATACCATTGTGATAAATTTTTGTTAGGCGAATACTTCTATACTAACCGTAAGATAATTATCTTAGTTGCATGTATTTATGTTAAGGGTCAACTATAACTATGTGTTGATTGTTATGTTTTATTCATTATATAAATTGTGAATTGATAAATTAACCGAAATTTTTTTCACTTGATGATAATATTATTTTATATTGGTTAATCTGGTTAACCAATGAACCAAACCGATTAAACTTTAGTTTGGTTAATTTGGTTGTTGTATTAGTTTAGACGGTTTGGTTATGATATTACAGTCCATGGTTAATGAAATTTAGGCTTATTTGATTTGGTAATAACCATAGTAACCATTTGAACACCCCTAAGAGGAACGGAGGAAGGGAGATAGTGGGTGGATCATGTAAGTTAGGTAGATTTATTTTGTGGAAAATAAGTTTTTAATAGATATATGTAAGATAAATTTTATTTCAGTCACTAAATCTTTAATTACTACTTTATTTGTACATATATTTAGAAAATGTATAAAACGGCTCAAACTGGCCGGACCCCGATCAGACAGTTAAACCTCAAACCCCTTGCTTAACCGGCTCAATGACTTAAACCGGTTTGACAACCTTGCTTTAGAGTACTCAAGTCAATATGTAGTATGCATAGTTTCAGTATCTTGAATTTTCTTTTCATAAAAGCTGTCTCATTTCGTTAGTATTTAGTCCTCTTAGTCGAGTCCCTAAGGTTAGTTCTTCATTATTGTACAATTTGGACTTGGTAGGAAGAGTTTGTACTTGTGCACGTTTTGTCATTATGACACGATTAAGCGGTTTATGTGTTTATGCTACTAAACCAATCATAGAATCACATGTCTATCAACGTTACAAGACATTTGGAGTGCAAATCCACCTTATTGTACAATTTGGACTCGGTAGGAAGAGTTTGTACTTGTGCGCGTTTTGTCATTATGACACAATTAAGAGGTTTGTGTGTTTATATGACTAAACCAATCAATGAATCACATGTCTATCAACGTTACAAGACATTTGGAGTGCAAATCCACCTTATTGTACAATTTGGACTCGGTAGGAAGAATTTATACTTGTGCACGTTTTGCCATTATGACACAATTAAACGGTTTATGTGTTTATACTACTAAACCAATCATAGAATCACATGTCACTCAACGTTACAAGACATTTGGAGTGCAAATTCAACTTATTGTACAATTTGGACTCGGTAGGAAGCGTTTGTACTTGTGCATGTTTTGTCATTATGACACAATTAAGCGATTTATGTGTTTAAACTACTAAACCAATTATGGAATCACATGTCTATCAACGTTACAAGACATTTGGAGTGCAAATCCACCTTATTGTACAATTTGGACTCGGTAGGAAGAGTTAGTACTTGTGCACGTTTTATCATTATGACATAATTAAGCGGTTTATGAGTTTATATGACTAAACCAATCAATGAATCACATGTCTATCAACGTTACAGGACATTCGGAGTGCAAATCACTTGACATTATGATACAATTAAGCGGTTTATGTGTTTCTATTACTAAACCAATCACTTGACAAAACGTTTAATTGTATCATAATGACAAAACGTGCACAAATACAAACTCTTCCTACCGAGTCCAAATTGTACAATAAGGTTGATTCGCAATCCTAATGTCTTGTAACGTTGATAGACATGTGATTCATTGATTGGTTTAGTAATATAAAAAAATAAACCGATTAATTGTGTCATAATGACAAAATGTGCACAAGTACAAACTCTTCCTACCGAGTCCAAATTGTACAATAGGGTGGATTTGCACTCCAAATGTCTTATAACGTTGATAGACATGTGATTCATTGAATGGTTTAGTCATATAAACACATAAACGAAATTAGTCATATAAACCGCCTAATTGTGTCATAATGACAAAATGTGCACAAGTACAAACTCTTAGTACATAGGCGAAATTGTACAATAAGGTTGGTTTGCACTCCAAATGTCTTTTAATGTTGATAGTCAAGTGACTTTATGATTGAGTTAGTAATATAAACCCATAAAACGCTTAATTGTGTCATAATGACAAAACGTGCACAAGTACAAACTCTTCCTATCGAGTCCAAATTGTACAATAAGGTGGATTTGCACTCCAATTGTCTTGTAACGTTGATAGACATGTGATTCATTGATTGGTTTAGTCATATAAACAAATAAACCGATTAGTTGTTTCATAATGACAAAATGTGCATAAGTACAAACTTTTCCTACCGAATCCAAATTGTATAATAGGGTGGATTTGCACTCCAAATGTCTTGTAACGTTGATAGACATGTGATTCATTGAATGGTTTAGTCATATAAACACATAAACCGTTTAATTGTGTTGTAATGACAAAACGTGCCTGATAGACCAATAATTACACATGTTTTTACCCCCATTCTTGAGCCGTTTGAGATGTTGATCCTCGTGTTTTAGGCCGATTTCACGCTAGGTTGTGCTTGTTTGTGATATTTCAGGTCATAGTACGTGAATGAAGGTTTGGGAGCGAGTTCGGGGTCGATTGGACGAAGATCGGACATGTGGCGAGTCGCTGAGTAAGCCACACGGGCACACATAAAACCCACACGGCCGTGCAAGGAACCAATGTGGTCGTGTGGGATTGTGCGAGCCGTCACACGGGCAGACTGGTGGCTCCACACGGCCGTGTGTCCCTGGCCGTGTAGGTAGCCTGAAGTCCAATTATTTGAAACGCGGCGTTTTGTCTCTCACACGGGCATCTGGGTAAGCCACACGGCCGTGTGGCATGCCCGTGTCAGTCGGTAATTCTGGTTTTTACCCAAATTCGAGCCACAAGTGAGGGAATCGACTTTTCTGAGCAAAAACAGAGTTTTAGAGAGAGAAAGGGCGAAGAACAAACCCTAGGAGCTATTTGGAGTGGATTTCTCACCATTTAAGCCCAAATTGCGTCCCCAGGAGTGAAGATTGACATCCCAGAGCAGATTTTCCTCATCTTTATGAGTATGACTACTATGATATCTGTTTTCCTCTCTCTCTCTATGGAGTAGAACCCTTCTCTCACTTGGGTATGAAGAACCCTAGTTCCATGTGTTAGGGATTTGATTGTAATGACTTGGGATGATTATACTGTTTGGTTTTAATCGAATGATGCATGTTTCATTGAATTGAATGAAGTCTGATCAGCTTTTCTTGATTTCTGCTGCAACCAGAGATAGATAGAATCTGATTAGGTTGTTAGAGCTTCTTCATTCGGTAGTAGAAGATTGGCTATACGAGAGTTAGTCAGTCTACTGCTTTGTACTGGAATCCAATTCCAGTAGTGGAGTTCTGTGCTTATTGCTTCAGCTTTCTATCT